ATCCTGTACACCCGTGCGATTCTTTCTCTCGTAGATCTCTCATATTTGCGATTACGTACATTAATATCATTACGATTTCACTCTACATCGATTCGAACACTATGTGATCTCCATCAGGGAAACAGAAACGTTGTGCGGAGACAACCTACAGATTTTTGTGCTCTAACCTTAACCCGACGTGCAAATTTGTGCTACTGGTGATCCGTTTACGATAAGATCACCAGATGAAAATATATTGTGGTGTTGGTGTATACCTGCGTTGGATATTAGTATTGTGTGATCAGATGGACTTGAGGATGTCGTTTAGTTTGTTCATTCATGGATTCGTGGATTCTATTTGTGAATACTGGCAGTTACAAGTATGGTGACAGTAGGCTGATAGTGAAAGGGCGTCGTTCCAGGAACACGAGGTTCTTGTGTTATTTAAAAGGTCATTGTGAGTTGTGTGTATGAGGACGAAGCAACCTTAGTGAATCGTTACCATACGTTGATTGTATTTTGTGAATTGGTTTTAATCTTTACGTTGAACGTAAGTGCGGTTCTATTTACTAACTTGTTAGAAGAATAAATGTACATATGCATTAACAAAGTTACGGCATTGCAACATTTTTATTTTATTGAATTGTGCGAAATGCAGCGGCGAAAAAAGAATTACGCTAAAGAATTTGAATTAAGAAATAAAAACTAAAACGTATGTAAAACTAACGTAATTGAACGATAAGTAAGTCAAATCAGACAACAAATAAAATATCGAAATACTATTTTACTGGAAAGTCAACCCTTAACTTAATGAAGGTGGTCGGTATGAGAGTGCACAATAAATTACACCACCGTTGAAAAATCATATTTGTTTGTTCCATTTATTACCCAAAGCTCTTTTCCAACGTCCAGTTTTCGCAAAACTAGTGTTTTCGCACGACGTGACTACTTTTCCTTATCGAACATACAAATTACACGAATCAATGCCCACTTGTATAGTAGGCAAACTACACCCGTCAGACAATACGCTTCGTAGATTAACCTTGTTTTTCTCGTTCCGTACAATGAATAGATTTGCGATAATTTTGCATTCGCAATATAATTCTTCTTTTTTTTTATTTATTCAACAGTTTTTTTTTTTTTGTATAACTTTCATATGTCATACGACAGAGGTTTTTAAGTGTTGCTCCAGACAAAGATTTTGTTGTAGCGGAAGGCAACGTGCATAAGGAAATAGGAAATATATGATGTATACATATGTATATCATATATATTTACAATAAGTGTAGAAGAAACGTGTTGTTTAAGTGTCGACAGACGGATTTTAGGCCTATTTCGCGAGACTGATTTGCACTGCGCTAAGATTAGCAAACTAGATGCACGCTGGTATAGATTTAATTGTAGTAATTATTTCGTTGTTGCTCTTTGATTTAATTTTCCGGGCAGACATTTTCCGTTGCAATAGTTTAATAAAATGGGAAAATTATTGAACTGTTAAATAAACTAATTTTAATCGCATTTGAAAACACTGTAAACTGATTAACATTAAGTTAAGCAGCGAAACTGGATTCGTTGAGTTCATAAAAAATGAGACAAAAAATTTAAACAAAATAGTAGATACATGTTTTATTATCGTAAAAATTATCTTTCAAAATTGATCAGTTACTATTTTTTATTATTTTTTGTAACAATATTAAGGGCTTAAAAGAAAATAAAAAAATAGTTTGAAATCAATTAGTCCAAACTTATGCAACGGAATTACATATCGGCCATTACGAGAAATCATTTTGTGCGAATTATGCACGTATCACTAAGTAAGTGTTGGAAATTTTTTAGAGCTAGAACGACCGATACCTATCGAAATTAATACAAAATCAAAAATTTACCTGGATTTGTACATAGTAGTCGATAGTACGAAATATTCCGTAAATTGTCAACGAAGTAGGGAAATAAATCTGCTGGCAGGTCTATCACATGTTTGTCGACCGTTAATCGTTTTCTTCGTCTGTAAAATCTTTATAACCGAATATATACTTAAATATTTATACTCTATTTGCGTAATGTAAAGAAAACACATTCATAATGATGTTCTAGCACTAATTAGCGACGTCGTGGCATGAGAAATAACGCTTTTATCACACATGTAATCGTAATTGACATGACACGAACAAATCGAACCGAAAACTGCACTGCGCGGGAAATCTAAAAATTGGAGGGAAACGTTAGTGACGTCAACGCCACTACACACCTCCGCTATCTAGTTTTACAAGTAGGAACTAAGATGAATTTTTCTCCCTCACAAAATCGCAGCCACATAGTTTCAGAAGTTAACATCGTGAAACCAATGATCTGCATTAGTGCTTCTTTCTCCATGAAATTCAATGCACTTTTCGTTTCGTTATTCGATTAAAAAATTCGTGTTTCTCGTAATAACCGTTCCGTTTTCAAATGGTACTCGCGAATTCCATTCGAGCTTGTGCACTTGTGTAAGAAAGTGTACGAAATCACGACGGAATGTAGCTCAGGTAAGATTACGATTAATTTGACGACTCAAGATGGTGAAACAAATTCAACAGGATTATCGTTCGAGCGATACAGGAAATCACGTAGATTCTTTTTTTTTTTTGTTTTGTTTTTTCAGACACTTAACATGAACATTGTCGCGTACGTTTGAACGACCAATTGTTTTCAAATGGTTAGCTTTTCCTTTTATCTAGATTAATTGCAAGCTAATTGTGTAAACTGGAATCAGGCAACGAATTATATAACAAAGTTTATTTTAGTGCAGTCATTTTGTTGTTAACGCGGCCAGGGTAACGTACGCGACACATTGTGTTGTATGTTTCACACTCAGAGGACAGTAGTTTTTTTTATACGCTAGGATAACTTTTTTTTTCTGGATGAATTTCACGTTATTATACTTTCGAACGTTACTTTTTTTTGCACCATTCTTGCCAATACCGGTTCCGTTGATCCTCCAAGAGTCATAGTAACTGAAACGACGAAAGCGAGGTAACGAATTTATCCGCTACTCTAAAGCACATCACCTGACAAAACATCAATGGAATTCAAGGAGTTGTTGGCATGTTCCGTTTTAACAGCAATCAATTTCTCGTCTAAGATCTAAATTTTCGGTACTGTGACCAGAGCGTTTAAGTGGAATGGGGAAAATATCACAGCTGGCCCCCGGAAACGTCGAAAATCCAAAATAAAGGAGGGACTTTTGAGGGCCTTTGAGGAACCGCCCGGTCGTCCCAGCTTCGATCTTTTTTTTTTTTCCAATGACCTGTTCTCTTTAGACGCGGGTCTTCGCGTTTCTCTGTTTCTGTTTTTCTTTAAATACCGTCGATAAGTCACATCATCTACGAAACATGAAAAAAAAAAATGATACAAATAGTGTGACTATATAGAAATCTAAAAAAGATCTCTCATGTTAAGCGAACTGGGCTGATCGGGGTTCCCTTTGCGCGGTATATTCATATTATACATGTATATTCTGTAACTAATAGTAATATTAATCATATGATCGCTATTAATATTATTATCATTGACTCGCACGCTAGACCGATCGCTGTGTCTGTGCGCCTAGTTCACAGGATTATTTCAAACACTTTTTGTGTACTGATAGAAACTATTCTGTCCTGAATAAAAAAATATGGAATTAGAGAGATATTTTTTTTTGTTGGAGTTGTAAAAGAGACGTGACCCACTAGGCAATCCTTCGATTAATTGCTTAAATACCGTTATCGAAAAATGGGGTCACAGTCGCGTGCACAGTGCGCTAAAAGCTTGTAGATAAATATCCGAACAAAATTTCTTTCAGTACCCTGTTTCAATGTTGTCGGGTCGATGCTGTTATCCCATAATTCAATGTGCCTGAAATTGACTAGGGTCGAGCGCACCGGCACAGTAATTGGCTTCTACTTGTATTAAGGAAAGCGTGTCGAGGTCGCACGAGGCTTCTGAATTTTTGTTCGAAACTCTACTTTATATATATAGGGAAATTATAATCACAGATTGATTCAGCGCGAAAATTTTCTTTAAGCGGTCGCGCGTTCTCGCTTGTCATCGTTTTTCTTCACATGATAGGATTCATCGTTCAAAGTCTATCGTATGGGTTTTGGTCGCTCAACTCTCTTAACTCTCTAGACTTTCTTCCTGCAACAAGAAATCGAGTACACATCGAAATTTGTACCCGTGAAACTGGTTTTCTCCGTTAATAACATTTTTAATTCAATAAACAACAATCAAACTGACGTACTCGACCCACTCGATAAGTTATAACTCGTCGTAATAAATTGTCAAGCTGAAGTTAACCTTCCAGATATACATATACGCAACGCGTGTACTTAGATATTCGATACAATCACGATAAATACAACGTGTGAAATAATAGATTCACAAAATACAACAGGAATATATACCTGACGCGGTACGGATAGACTTTGAAACAATCTAACCTTGGCAATTTAAAGGATACGTCTAGCTGATTCCTGAGATCTTCACGACACGTTTATTGAACAGTCTGATATGAGGAACCCGTACGCAGAATCTTTGTACGCGAATCGAAGCCTCGCACGAACGTGGTGCCGTGTTAATGTCGTTAACTTTTCTTAAAATAATTTCTCTCTTTCGGTCTCTGTGTCATTTAGCCGCTTCGATGGCCGTTTCGATGGCCGCTCGAGGGCTCTTCTTAACGAAACACCGCCTTAATAGGACGCATCATCGATCGAAAGTCCAAAATCATACCTATCACACGACTGATGTACTTTCAATAGGTGTATTACCTCTCGATTCAATCTGCTTACAAAAGCTATAGGAGATCTTCTAAAACGATAGCTGCAGCTAGCTGGAAGAGTGTTCGAAATCAACTTTTCATATGTATAAAATGAATTTTAGAATTTTCTTCTTTAAAAATGTATCACTAGTGATACTGGACTGGATTTTGATCGTCATTTGCTGGCAAAGATCGCTAGTTTCCCCTCCAACGATTTGATCGATGATCTCTTATATACGGGGTAGACGTTTCTATAGAAATAAATGGATGATTATCGACAGGAGCATTTTCCCGTCAATCTTGAAAAGAAGAGGGCACCCTCGAGCGAGCAACGCGACGTGAATCATGGATCTTTTGTCGAATAATCGCACGTGTACTTAATTATTCCGCGTCCCCGGCTTCTGTCCGCCCCCCGTCATCCTGACTACTACCATCGTCGTTCACCGTTTTTTCGTGATCGGCTGTTCCCTCTACAACCGCGGTATTCTCTTCTTCAACAATTTCAGTCACTTCTATTCTTTCTCCGTCAGCTATCTCCTCTTTCTCACCTTCTTCGATCCTCTCGTCAGGTTCCTCGATCACCAAATCAGGATTCTCCGTATCGTTCAAAGCATCCCCTTCGTGAATAGAGATCTCTTCTTCGTTTCTGAAAGCGTCCACCACCTTCTGTTCAATGGTTAACTGCCTGACAGTGTTCTCCAAATTCTCCCTTAACACACGATTGGTCTCGTTCTCCTCATCCTGCCACAACGTCGGCATGAACGTCATACGAACAGTTTGATAAAGCTTCCTGAAGCCCAGCTTCTTGTACAGGCTCTGGCTCGCGCTATTCTCTGGACGTATCACCACGAAAGGTTGGTAACCCTTCTCAGCGACCCGCCTCGTCAGGTACCTACGATTTTGCTATCATGAATGAAGAAGTATCATTGATGAGAGACTTTTTCAAGAGCCCGAAATCATCAACTTTAAACTGTCTCATGAAACAAGATCCGAATTGTGCTTTATCGTTAACTTAAAAGATGAAAATACTTCTCTACCTTGCTAATTTCGTTCCGTAACCCTTCCTCCGGTATTCAGGCTTCGTTTGCATGGAGAACATCGCTCCATAGTAAGACTGAACCATCCAGGCGGCCAAGCTACCTCTGGCGAACACTCCAGCCGCTGGCAGTGTCCTGATTAACCGCAAAAAGATCTCGTGACACTCCATATCGTTCGCAGGATACAATTCATAGATGCCTTCGGCGTGTTCAGCCTGCAATGGCTGCACTTGAATGTCAGCTTCGGCATCTTCCTCGGTATCCACAGCGTAATCGACGTTCTCCGGATTCTCGCAGACGAACACGTCTCCCACTACCCTCTCGATGGTTCCTATGTCCTCGTAAAGACGCGTCAACTCCTCGGCGATGTCGTAATGAACGAAATTAATGTAGAGTGGTTTCGACCAGTCGATCAAAACGTCTTCTTCCCTCATCAGTTTCAGCAATTCCAGCCGGTCGTTCGGACAAAAGACACCCACGCTTTCGAACAGCAAACCGTGAGGCTGAAAGTCGATTACGTCAAGGAAAAGATTGCTTTTTCTCACTCTCTGTCTGTGACTGTTGGAAAATGAGAGAAGTTGCGAGAGCCCGCGTCAATTATTTATCGCGAGGTCATTTTGTCGTTTCAACGGGTTCCGATTTATTCTCTGCTCTCGCTACTCTCTCGATCACACGAAAATCCTCTGCTCAGAGATTCACTCTTGTCCTAATGAAGTTACGCGCGGCACGCTTTCCGACGCGATCGACGTGATAAATTCTCACTCGAGAAATATCAAAGTTCGCCCATTGTGATTTACGAACTGGCAAATTCCTGGAAAGACACCGATATATGACAGCTCGCGGGGAGGGGGTGCAAGATTGCGGACACGTTAATTAAGTAAAGAGGTTCGAATCATCGAGGGGGTAGATTAGAGGAAGTGGGGTTAGGAAATGGACTGGCAAGGCTGTGAAACAAAAGATTGGCCGTTGGCCAAACAAGGATTTGGGCCAACTTTTCCGCACCTCCTTCCGATACGTTCGAAAACAAAATGAATTTTCCCAAGACACGCGTCCCTTCGTGCTCCTTCTTCGTGTTAACAGTGTATACCTCACACCATCGGCAACTTTTGTCTCTCGTTCAAATAATTCAGAAATTATTACGGAGGGGAAAGGAGTGCAGCGATCATTTGTCCAAGGAAGATATATAAATCGCGTGTGGGCGACGTTTGACATTTCTTCCTCCTCCGACGTACTCGAGGGGAAAGAGAATACTGTATCTGCTGCACAGTATATGTACACGAGTACAACACCGCTGTAGGGCATTATCGATCGCGCTTTAAAGCGTAATCTAAAACGAATGGTGACTTATTTTATACTCACAGATAATGTCATGCCGGGGAAATGTAAACAGATCGCATCGTCGGGCCAGCCGTTAGCCACGTAGAAATGAAAGTCCCATACTCTGTCCCGCATGTAGGTCAACAAAGTTTGATGGAACTGCAAAGCGGAGATAACGTTACATTTCAAAGCTTTCAACAATTGAAAGGGAGTGAGAGTTTGTATTTCCTTCATTCGTGCCACGTTTCCCCAGCTGAATAACGAAAAACAAAAACAGAAAAAAGGAACAGAAGGATAGGAAGGGGAGAAAGACGACAAGTAATTCCTTTGCACAGGGTGTATCCACAAAGCAATAGGTCGTCCGCGAGGAAATAGTTGGAAATCTTTTCATCTCGCGGAAGAATTAGAGGAGTCTCATCACAGGTCTTGGAGTAGTTAAAGGGAAGCTTTTCTTTCTCGCGGTACGCGCACATTGACTAAAGGCAACGTCTGAAATGAAAGGGTGGATATTTACGAGGAAGCTGCAGGATAAAGAGGAACTTGGCCGAGGGCGACGCTCCAGACGTCCGCTCTTAAAATAAACCACCACGTGCTACCTGATATCTGCGTGCCTAAAACGTTCCATCTTTTCGCCAAAAATTTCCCACGCTTTCATACTTGAAGATAACTCCGTAACATTTCATTCGATCGATTTTCTATGTCGGGGGGGGCGTAAAAATGAAAAGTTCTGGAAAAAATTCGCATCAATCATAGAATAAACATAAACGAAGGTAGTTTACGCGAGCTACCAAGTAACAGGCTCTCTCTCTCTCTCCGGTTGAAAGTTAGTAAATAATCGACAGTGGAAGCTATTGCGGAACGGCATAACCTGTCCTAGATTTTATATAACAGTTGCACCAGTCAGAATGCTCGGATATCGTATACCTGACGAACGTTCCAACGATTTCACACGTCCTGTCGATTCGAAGTTTTACATACAACACCAGAGAGGCACGTAGCCGCGCGTGTTTTATTAGTCACCCCCCACTGGTATCTATTCTCTTGTGCCTTACTTTTCAGAAAGTGAATTTGTTTTCGAACCTGCGGTATTCTATGCAGTAAACTTGTAAGCCTTCCTGTTTTTCTCTTTTCTTTTCTTTTCTTTTTTTTTTGGAAAAGAAGGTTTACTCGTTCTCGAAATACTGGAGGGTACAGATGTCGCATAATAAAATGTTTCTCATGCAGCATGTGAAGTATAACCGGCGTAAATTTACATATCACCGGTTCGATCTCGAAAAGCCGGCAAGAAGAATGTAAATGAGAAAGTAGCACGAATTGTCTCAACTCGTTTGGTGTCTTTGATACAAAAACCCTTTATTCCTGTACACCTTGCTGCGCGTGAAATGAATCTTTGAAGGGATAGTTGGAATCTCTTTCTCTTTTCCAGCAGGAGCAAGTTTGTTTAAACTTTACGCGGGCAATAGAGCGCGAGTCACTTTCAGAAATTCAGTTAAACGGGATTGAACAAACTTGACTCGGTGAGTTGGTTAGGGAATTAAAAGTCATGCAACCTAATTTACCTGCTGTAAGGTTAATAATAGAACGGCACGTAAACGCGACGGCTGCGAGGATAAGCAAGAGCTGGCAGCTTTATTATTATTCGATGTATAAACGTGTTTTACCTTAATTAAGTTTAAACCTAACTAGCGTGAGCGCGTATGTGTGCACGCGTGTTACACGCTTCATGGCGCATGTTTCGCATTAATGAAACAGCTCTAAGAAATAAGTTCCGCGAGAACTGGTCGTTACCCGATAACTGGTTGATTAATTCCCTTTAAAACCTCTACACGTCTATCTTTATGGAGAAGAATAAAAAAAAAAAGGTGTCGAGTTCTATAGTTCTCTCGTCAGATCGCATCTTGTTAACCAACCACGAATAATTTCACCCGAGCCAGCCGAAGTACCACGAGAAGAAAAGAGCATAAAAGTAGGAGGTGTGTGTATCTGCAGCGCTGCTCGCCGTAACGAAGGCGAGGAAAGAAAGGACACACGATTCAGAAAGTGGTCCGTGATCAAAGCTCTTCTCATTACCGAGCTTCTTCCAACCGGCTTGCCGCGACTCGTTAAGAATCATCGTGATGGCTGTGGTAAGCGTGCAAGAGGCATCGATTCAAATGCGGATTGGGAAAAAACGATACTACATGCCAGCCAGGCGCACATCGCGTGTGCACACTCGGACACGACCTTGACCCTGCCTTTTCGCTGGATGGCACAGCTTTATTCGAGGATAAATGACGCGGCCCCGATATACGGCATCGTTTCGTATTACTCAGGTATTATAGCGCGACCAACACGAGCAACGGGTGTAGTTAAGTCCTCCGAATCGCCTGTACACAGAGAATTACGCTGACAGTTACTCTTCTCTCTGCTGAATGACTACGCAAGATCTTGTGGGAACTTCACCGAGTGAACTATTAGGCACAACGGCTATTTTCATCCACCAGTTTTGCTCAAATTAAGCGTCTACATTTGCTAACCTATCGATAGCCATCTTATCCTTGTTTCAAGCAGGAAAATATCTAGTAATAGTGTTAGGATTAGTGTTAAACGCGTCGTGGAACATTATACCAGACACGGGAGAGCTAGCGATCGAAGATAAAACGATCGACGACACACTCGATAACGTCAAACGGGTTACACAACATCGAATTCCAACGGACTGTCGCAACGAACGAATCTCTCCGATATCGCGGCGAGATTACGAGATCGACACCATGCTTGGATCACGGAAACGCGACCCTGGCCTTGACACCTGGAACACCATGCGCATCGGTACCGGAATCGAGGTGGCGTGGCGGCCAGCCGTAACAGCTGAAGCTCTTATTAGATCGACGCTTTGCTTACTGAAGAGTGAAAGGCTGAAGAGAAAGAGATTGATCTATTATGATCTATTTCATCGTTATTTTCTGATGGCTTCCTACTGAAATCTGTGGAATAATTACTGATTCGGTCGATCGCTGCACGAGACTGGAATGTCGATCAGTATTACGGAACTGACGTAAAGCGATATCGAAGTCATAACAACGTCGACGCGGATCACGGTTATTGCCCGTTGCGCAACGTGTACACTTTCATGCGTGAAATTTCAACATTGATACATGTACGCAATATTTTTGTCGAAAGAACCTTCGAAATTATGTACGTGGAACTTCCTTATTTCCATTGATTTCTAATAAACACGTATTCATGGTAACGGGAACTTTACCAGTTAGGAAATAATGAGGATGACTAGGAAGCCTTGGAAAAAGAAAAAAAAAACCAGTTTCTTCCATTGGTATTTTAATGAAAAATTTAAAAACGTTTTACAAGATTTGATTTGATTGCAGAAGAATATTCGATCGAACCGTTTCATCAGGGCTGAGAGGTAGGCGAGGTTTATTACAACTTTCTCTCGTAAACATGCTCGCTAACCGATTACCGCACTCACCACCGTGCAAGTATTATTTGCGTTAACAGGTGTTTGTCGCGTACATCAAAATTGCCGCGTTTTCGTTTGTGCAAAAACGTTGAAATTTCATTGGCAGCTGTAAAAATACAAAATGCAATGCTCGCGAATTACACGTGGGAAGAAATAGAGAGGGAGACGTATCAACATAGAGTGGTGAACGATCGATAGCAGTGATAGCAGTGAAAAATTGCTACGAATTAACAGGAAGTATCGAAGAAAATGAGACTTCATACGACAATTGTCGGTTAGAACGATCAGCTGTGTCGGAAACGAAGCCTTGTAAACATCTGTTCCGAGCGAGACGCTATCAGGTAGGGTAGAGGGTATAGGGTTTGCGGCAGCACGGTCATAAATAACATGTGTCCCGATCCTCTGAGAGATCAGTATTCGTGTCATAGAAGCGAGAGAAATTGAGGCGATGTCCGTTAATCCGTTTCAAAGACGAGCTACATCTCTACTGAACGAAACACCATGGGAATAATAGTACAAATGATATTCCGTATTATTCGACGGCGGTCTATTGCCGCTAATAAATCGGTTCGTAACACCCGATAGTTTTCGATGGTTAGGTACACAGGATATGTAGCAATTTAAACTTGTTACGAACAGTCTGTCGCAGAACAGCGTACCCACGATATCTCTTATCGGTTCGTAACACCCGATAGTTTTCGATGGTTAGGTACACAGCCATATGTAGCAATTTAAACTTGTTACGAACAGTCTGTCGCAGAACAGCGTACCCACGATATCTCTATTTAAAGCCTACTCGTTAATAACGAATTTAATCTGCTCCATTCTAAATATTCTATCAATCGTCCTTCCCAAATACCACAGCCACTCTCTCGCACGACTAACTGTGCAGGAACGCCTTTGTAGTGAAAAAATAAACGGCTCTGAAAGTGATAAAAAAAGCATGTATCAGTTTTTCCACAAAGCGTTCAGCCTTGCAGATTGTATAAGGAACGGTGCGGAAGTCGCGTAATCGTTGCACACAGCTGATCCGTCCGAACGTATGAAAGCAATGGGATTGCAGAGAGTGCGCGATCCGTGCGCGCGGCCGTTTAAAAAATCGCACGGCTAGCGTCGTTCGTTCGTGCCGCTTTACGACTGCCATGCCGCGTGCAAATACGCGGAGAAGGCCACCGCAGGAAACGACCTGTACCAGCTGCGACCTTGACACTAACCTAGCACAACGGCCGACCACTTATACTGGGTTACGGCGGAAATACTACGCTCAGGATCGCTTCCTTCGCCCCGGTAATCTTATCCTGTCGATCCACGCCGCTGTCGCCTCCTCCCACGGGACCCCCCCCTCATGACCCTATTTTCCATCAGCCCCACGAGAAACCCCTTTCTTCCTTCTACTTCGTTATTTCCAATGTCCTCGTAGGGCTTCTACAGGATGTTTCAAAAGATGAACGTTAAAGCGATACTGTGCATTCGGGAGGTTGAACTACAGGTGAGAGTGTGAGCGCGAAGCTATCGAGGGGTGATCGCAAATTCATTGTCTGTTAACCATTTCATCCACAAAATTAGATTTCTCGTAACACTTGAAAGAAAATATTTTTCGACGTGGCCAATTAACGCATTTAACGCTTACCTTTTGAAACTTATTGTACAAGTACTTCACATTTTCCTTGGAATCGACTCGACATGGAAATTCATTCGAATTGCGCACCGAGCTTACCAATTAGATTAGAGAGAGAGAGAGAGAGAGTTAAAGTAAAACTGAAGGTATCTTCAAGGACCTCGTACTTGAGAGCGATGATTTAAAGGCGGCGAGCAGGTGTTCCCTTTTGTTTGTGGCATTAAATTCCTTCTGAGTTGGTTTATACGCAACGCGATGAATCCAAAGGGCCTTAACCTTACCACGATACTAATCGTGGCATGCATCCTCTTTGTCGCCGTTTTCGCGGCACGTACCGACCTGCGTACCTGAACGAAGTCCAAGGTTTCTGCCTCCGGGAACGTGATTTGGATTGGTGTTCTTTCTTTCTTTTCGCAAAGAACAACGCAACATGCAAAGTTTCTAATTATATTTCACTCTACCCTCGGAGACTACTCTTGTGAAACGCGTGTAAATCAACCTGCACTCGCATTTGCATACTAAAATTGCAAACAGATGGAGTAATTTGCGAAGAACCACTGTAATTACACGAATAACGAGATATTTTATTCAGAAGATTTGGTCGAAAAGAGAACGCTGTTAATTACGGAATGACGAAGTCGCGTGTAGTTTGATTTAGGATTCAGATAATTGGAGGAATGGAACGGTTTGAGTGGCGAGGATATTTCAAGGTGAAGATAAATTGAAAAATTTCGATGGAAAACTGCACGCACCTTCAAGGATTCAGGCAAATAGCCAGCAAGGAAGTCCAAGAGTTGGGACAACTCCTCCTCGACGAGCGGACGAAAGTTCCGGCCTGGTTTCATCGCTTCGGGGCACTCCATACTGAAACTAATTACCAAGAAGTCATTTTGTGTGAGTGGCACCATGTTTCAAACCCTGTAAAGCACGCGACTCCAATTCCTTTTTCTATGGCTGAATTTCCAAAAAGGGAATTTTTCAAATTTTTGTTCGTGTAGTAAACCCCCACTGTGCTCGGTGTACATTTCTATAAATACAAGAAGAAAGTATTTATTTCATGTCGGATACGACTTGAATTGAAATTGGAGCACTGCATAATTGAATGGTCTCCCCGTAACCTTCGGTGACGTTAAAGTGACTTTAAACTGAACTCGAATGCCCTTCAGATAACCTTGACCGACCTTGTTGCGCGAAGCTTGAGGTGCCGACGCGGCGCTCTTGTTCATTTTGCTCCACGCGCGCAGTATAGTACAGTCTACTATACTATCTCAATTGTAACTTAATACAATTGAGCCGGGTTGAAATTATGATGTGAATTACGTTTGAAGAAGCTGAAGTTTTTGCTGGTATTCAGAACGATGTTCCGGAAACGCGTACAATTTTCTAGTTACTTCTATCATTCAATTGATATGAGTGAAAGTGGAGTATGTAAAAAGCTATCAACGGATAAGGGCGCTCTGACAACAGTCGGAAGGTACAGTTTCGTGGTACGATAACGTGACTTTGCCTGGTGTATGCGACACAACAGACCTTAGTTTTCTAATTGTTTCTGAATTACCCTGAACCACGGAAACGTTGCATAAAAAGGTGTGCCACCATTTTGAAAATATCCCCGACGAATTACACGCGATGCTTACTCTTCCCTCCTCCACCATCGCTACCACAATCCCCCACCCTATCCCGATGAAACGATCAAACTCCCTATTTTTCCACGAACGGATCAAACAGGAGACCGTAAGGGGGAGAGCAATCGATTCGTACGCGTGAAAATGTCATAAAGTGAGGTAAATTGGCCCGTGATTTGCAATCATTAAGCTCACCTAGCCGCTCCATGTTTCCGTGGCTCGTTTCACAAGTATGATTACATAATTGCAGGTACTTTTCAACTTTAAAATGTTTTCCCTCAAGGTCTGGCTTTGGTACGTCGGCTTATCGCGGCGAAGTAGAATGCGCCCGTACCCGGTCAGACTCGTATCCATCATTGTTCCGCGTTAATCGCGTCGACCTTCGACGTTCCACGAAACAGGGAGCTGCTCGTTACAAACTGATGAATAAGTATTAATTCAAGCACTGCTCACGAAAGCAAGTTTCCTTGGAGTCCTCGGGAAACTATTTTAACTAGTCGAATTGTTTCACACGAATGGTAAGGGAAAATTGGCGCTAGTTAGAGCGTGGGACTTGGAGAAGCCTGAAACAGCAGAGTGAAAGAAGCTTTGAAGTTTAATACCAAGGATATTCGGAGTCCTCGAGACTGTCCAAGGTTTTGGGGATTTGAAGAGCAGAGGACTTCGTTTCTTGAATGGTAGAGAAGCGAAATTTTAGAATATACGACTGAGTGTCTGAAAGATTTTTCACTACTGAAACGAAACATTTGGAAAGCTGTGTAATTCTTTTTACAAGCGCTTCTCTTATTTCCATCGAAGTTACTAAATTTACCACTGACTTGATAGACACTGAATTGTTTTACCTTCCGTCTGTTGACAAATTAATTGTGCCATGAATGTCGCATCGAGTTTATTAAAAACATTGCCGACAACATCACAGCCTTCGCTGTAGAAGATTAATTATTGGTATAATCGATGAACCGAAAGCGCGTATAGAAAATATCGATTAGTCGCATGTGCAATATAAACATTGGTTACAGTGTTGGAAGATTGGACGGAAACATTGAATTTTTGATTAAGCTTAACATTTTATCCAAACAAAGCCTGCTGATGACGATAAGTAATTGTCCCCTCTCGTGAAATTTATTTCGCACGATCTCCATGCCTCTTGATAATTTTGATAAAACATAAAACACCGTTGATATTTATATGTATAATAACAGCTTTAATATTAACAACGTTACGAACATTAATGAGAACATGTTAATTTCATAATTTGCATCGAGGATATTTTTCGCTGCGTCAAATTTTTATAACGAATAATTATTCCCGTCAGTCATATTAATGCTCGATTAAACAGTTTCGCGGAGACAATAATGAAACCTCTGGAAAAAGTGACCCGCACGGAAAGGAGTTAAGTTTAGATAAAGGAAAATCCGACGAAATGTAATAGGATTATCCCTTATGACCCGTGAAATCGCGGCGACAGTAAAAGCAGAGAAAGAGAGAGAGTAATTCTTTGGAACTCGTTTTCGTGCGCTTTATTTCTTGGTTCTTCCAAGGTGATAATATTCCCCCCTTCCTCTATCGTATATATGATCAACTACTGCTCTATTATTTTCCCAACAAAATTGACCATGTTCCTCTATAATACCAGTCTATTTGAAAGCACCGTTCTAATAATTTTACCAAGTGCAATCCCTCTCCGAGAGATATTCGAAAATGAACAAGGCACAGGCAAGTTGTGAGAAACCGTAGTCCAGTCCTTTATAAATCCAGACGTGGCACATTTACAGCAGCATCCCCGACTGCGTGCGAGGAGGAATCGTCATTTATCGACGAGCCAGAGGCGGCTACTTGCAGCGAGTACTGCGGAGAATCACGCCGGTGTCACGGTAACGTCACAACAGGAAGCACTATGTGATCAGGACGACGCGCAACAAACAAGCCCTGCAGACGACGCACCACCACGAATAATCGTTTCTAGACGGTTCGTGCTAGACACGTCGCGCCGATTCATCCTTGTACAACTTACGATTCCACCAAGCACTACATCATTACGTTTATCTTTATTTTTACCTGGATGAACGAGTCGCGTGTCGATCCTTGTTTCAGCCACTGAAGAAATAGACGTACGTTCGATTGTCGAGAGAAAACGGGAATTACGCGGCGTGAGATCGTTTAGGGGTGAGAATGGTTGCGGGCTGTTGTCAAGGGGTAGTTCCAACGGAGGCACCCGCCCTCGCCGCCCCTTGAACCCGCACTATTGCTCCTGGGCCACCGTTACCCTCCATGCACCGAACGCTGTCGTGCCAGTCGATGCGCAAGCGCCCTTCCACCCCAGGCTCGTACCGTTCATCTCTGGTACCCTCTATTGCGGAATCTTGCGTTCGATTAAATTTAACAAACATCGATCGAATCGATTTCACATTTCCAGAAACTTCTTAAATCTGCAATTCAAATAAATAAGACATACCTATTGCTTGGAAGTATTTTTTTTTTATGTAATAGGAAAGGTTTAAAAATGTTATATTCGGTACAGATGTCAACGTCATTATTATTATTATTTATTAAATAGTACAGCAATAAAAATTATTTTGTTTCATAATGGTAACTGCGCCAAATTGGTTAGCCTGGAGAGGGTTAACCTAGGCCCGACAAGCTGAGATCGATATTTTTGCAGATATCACCGAAACGTGGCCACATCTATCAAGCTGTTTCTCTTTACTGCGCCTAGCACGCAATTTACATCCAGGGAAGATGTATCGTTTCTTCCCATCGTTTCTTCGACCCTTCGTCCCCTCCCCCATCGCGCATAAAGCTCGCAACCCTTCAAGCACTGCGTTTTGCTCCAACTTACTGATGCAACATGCTCGGCTCACTTCGAAGGGTGATGCTCTTTAGGTACGTAATCGCATTGTGCAATTACATGTACGATTTTATGAACCGAAGGTTCGTAAAAAAACAGATACAGGCTAATTAAAGTACTCGTTTGTTTTTTCCATTCCTTTTTTTTATTTTCAACTAGGCGTTAAAACGTGGAGTTTAAACCAGAGCTTGAAAAAAGGCAAATGCTCGTATTTTTCATACTTTTTACAACTTCAAAGATAAAAAATAGCATCTACTATAATTTTGCATCTTATTTCTTCATGAACCTTGATTTCATCCTTGCTCTAAAAATATTGGTGTAAAAACAAAATAAAGAGACTTACAAAAAAAATATTCACTTTAAAAAGGTCAGATTATTGTTGCGCATCTATGTATGTACCCTCACGATTGTACGGTACTGCGTCCAACGTCGCGACGCAGGAAAGCACAGCTTCCACCGCCTCTTCATTTTCGCAGATCGATCCGACTGACTGACAAGAAGCGTAATCGAAAATCTCGAGGTTAAAGTTGCCTACTCTAGTGGTGCGCGTGGGACATACTAAAAAAATACTCGTAACGTTAGCCAAATTAGTTTCGTGTGAGAAATTTCTATCGAGTGCGATTCTCCCATCGCAAGTTTAACGATGTTGGCCTAAAAAACGTGACTAGTGAGCAAGCTGCAGTACACCTTGTCCTTTCACGAAAATTCACATGGAAAGTATAGTCTTACATTACAGTTTTGTCATGTGAAACCGAAGGTCGAGCCAGAATGCTCACATCCGATTTTATCCAATCGCGTGCATGACTGTTCGGCCTTGAATAATTTGACCAGGCACGTTAACGAAACGGTAGAACCTCTTAAATCTCGAGTATCGATTCGAAAAGGGTCAGTAAAGAAAGAAAACTTTGAGAATTTAGTTTCATTTAGGAGGAAAATATGCCGTGAAAAGGGGTCTATTGAAGTGAACTCAAAAGATGCTCTTTTTTTTCGAAAACTGCACAACGTTCTCCTTATTAATATCAAAACGCGGAAAGGAAATATAATTGGATGATATTTTGAACACGAAGATAAGAGTGCAATCGTTGATTGATATGTGGACGAGCTGGTTTGGCGCAGGTAATATGTAATTCCTAATAACAGTAGCTTATTCTTTAGTTCTTTGTGCGAAACGATTTTGTCTGAAATTGTTCGATTTTTTTAATTCTTTTTAGTACGCGATAATAAATAAAACAGGTATTTAAATATTCCCTCGGAATCTGAACATGCCCTCTTTTGACAATTGCGCATGCGGACTGGGCTTAAAACGCGTTATCAAATATTAATGGATACATAACCTCTAAAGTTTTTATGGGCACTTCTTTTAAAACAAAAGGAACGAATACATACTTTCTTATTTTTTTCAATTACTATCGATACCGCTTTTTTATTAAAAGTTATTTACACTAAATCAATATTGTATCACGTGATAGAAAATCGTCGTTCACTTCATAAAACAATTGATTACTATGACGAAGTCTTTCAGTATGTGTTAAACATTGTACTTTCCACATACATAAGTATGTGAATAAATTGTATTTAAAATACTTGAAAAATAATACATTCATTAATAATATGTTGTTTATTACCTATTCAATTAATACCTGTACTGTAACAAAAAAAAAAAAAAAAAAAAAAAAAAAAAAAAAAA